TGAGGGCTGATGTCACTTCCCGGTTGCCCACACCGTGGAAGGGTATTTCTTGAGGAGCCTGAAAAGGAAATCGGATTAGTGTCGGTCTTAGCGACCTGAGTGCGTGACCGCAGAGCCCAAGGGACAACTGCTTGAGGCCTGTCGCGAACGGCCTTTTTGTGGGAGGTTATTAATGTGTCATCTCTGTTCTTTAAAGGGCTTTACCGCCGGAGACGGAAACCCGTGGGGTAAGGTGAGGTGTGACAGTTTTAGAGTCAACCCTTTCTAACCCCTTCTTCCCTTGTGAGAAGGCAGCAACGCTGCAGATGCTGGTTGTCCGAGGGAAACACCTTACTGCTGTCACACCTCTGTACAGTCAGCAGTACGACTTCGCCGTCAGACCTTGAGTTGCTGCTTTTAGTCTTACCGTTCTCCAATCGATCTGCCTGGCATGGTAGAACCTGCAGGAACATGTGTTCAAGCCAATATAGCTCGGTTGGGTCATCACGATAGGCAAGCCCGACCAGCACGTCAGGGTAGCAGCTACGGTCGGTTAGCCATAATATTCGGGAATGGAAATTCATCAAGCAGTCCTTGATGCTCAAAAAGATATTGGTGCAACAAGTGGTGAGACTAGCCAAAAGGGATGTTGATTCTAGACCGCATTTGATGGAGATAACCTTCTCATCCTCCCGTATGGAGGCCGCAAGTCCGGAAGCTTTTCGTGTCCACAGACGCCGTTCGCCAACTGGAATCCATATGCATCTGGATAGGCCATATGACGCCAGGTTCAAGCACAAAGGCAAGTTGGAGCTGACCATCCCACTTGTGGGCTGTATAGATCATAAAAGAACGTGAATAGAACAAGGGCTACCAACTCGGATAACCTTATATAGGTAGGCTACCTGTGTTGCGTTCAAGTTTTTGACGTACGGTATATCTATCTATTTGCAATTTATGGGTCCAAATTAACAATAACACCAAGCTCCAATTTAGGCACCAAAATTTACCCGCAATTTACAAATAGTCGACTCAAATGTCGTTCTAATAATAATTATAACAATTATGGAATCGTACTTTCAATTTCGTAGGTCCCCGGAGCAAAAATTCTGAAATATCAAACCAAGGGCTAAGGGATTCCGAAATGTCCGAAGATAGTGATATAAACAAACAAGTTCGGAAGTTGACTAAAACAAATACATCTCAAAAACACAGTTGTAAGATCCATTTTTAATGTTCTGTGTATGAAAATCCCTCTAAGTAAACATTTACAGTTTGTTTATAATGATTCCTTTAGTTGTACATTTTGTCAGTCTTTTGAGTCCATTTGAATTGGTAATATCTGTATTTTATTGCAATTTTTATTTTTCTTACGCCTTCATGTTTCTTGCTGAACTGCATTTATATTGTTTTACTTGAGACCTAGTCTTGGCGGCAGCCATTTTGGTTTGATTTTCCTTTTGATTATGTCGCTTGTATTGACTGGAATTGTGCATTTTTCATTGTGAATCGGAGCATTCTTCCAGAATCTGAAACACCTTATGTTATAAAGCAACCAAATATTATTTTTTGAAGGAATCTGTGCGTGATTTATCCAGACAGGATAGAATAGCATTTATTTGTTACGATTGGTAACCTTCTCTCATCCATTATCAACTCCTTTGTTCATTGTAGTTTATATTTGATTAATTGAACAATTATTGGTTGAGTAGCTTGATGGTCATATTTGTTTAGGTAACAATGTACATTTTAATTTATGATGAATTTTAGAACCGTCATTTTCCCTAATCACATTGTTTTGGTTTCGGCCGCGTATCTAACCCACCTAGACAGATATTCTTCAGTCCAAACCTTAGTTTGCATCTTACATGGTAAAATTATTAATATTCAGCATAAAGGTTTTGATCAACCAAATGTCTGTAACAACTTGTCCATTCATATAAGGCTCATACAGAGAAACAGGAGGGAGAAGCTTGCGCGTTTCAAATTGAAAGTATAAACTGCTTATACATGGACGCAGTGAGCTACGCGATCTTAGTAATGCTAATAATGCTCATCTGATAGGAATATCTGAAACTTGGAGATCTCGGTTTATGGACGGCAATACCCAGGATGTCCTTGTTTCGCAATGACAGAAAAACAGAAATTGGGAGTGAAGTAGCCTTATACTTGCGAATTTGAGTGAAGGCGCTCCAAGTGCACAACTAAGAGTTTTTCGTGCCTATAGGTAACCTTCGTGTTATTGATGGAAGAAAACAAACTAGTGGTGGATAGGTCTTTATTTGGGTCCTCGCGCAGTCACAGTGGAGCGGAGATTACGTGTTCAGACAAACAAAGCCACTCACCATTCAATATATGATAGTAGGAAATGTAACTCCTACACAAAATAAGTAAGTGAATGAATACTTCAACTCTATTGTTTTGACATAGGCTTAGTTGTTTGAGGTCAACTCAACCTAAGCTGTTACAAGTTTATTAATCTTGATGAATCCGTATAGTGCTCAGCAAGAATTTTTACCACCTCAAGGTGTCTAGTTGAGGTTATCTACAGGAAGCTTACTGGTGATATCGAATATGACAATCGTATGCTAGAAGGACTATCCCACTCTACTCGTCTCGAATTCACTCATATCCTGATTCTAGAGGACTTCAATCTTCCTAAATTCAATTTCGTGGAGCATACGTACATTGTAGGCGAAAACTCCACTGAAGCTCGGCTCTCCGACCTCATTAAAGATCTGGAATCATTCGAAAATGTGAAGTCGGCAACTCGTTGGCGAAACAGTAAGGCGCCATCGCGCTTACATTGTGTATTTACAAACGAAGAATTCCCGATTGACAACCTCTCAATCCTGGCTCCCTCAAGAAAAGCGATCGCGCCATTATAGCCTTTAGTTTTGTCGGTAAATCTGAGCTAAGACATCCTACCGACAACAGGCGCTGGAATTTCAAACCGTTGGATATGACAGATTTATAGGTCAATATACAGCAGGTGGACTGTGAAGTTCACTGAATGATCAGTGGTATGTCATAATGCACCCGAACTCATTGTGCTTCATAACAGTGCTCCTCAAATGGTCCCCAAAACTACAAGCAACATACAGTCATCAAGAATCGCAATGTTCGTTTGCTGAGCCGCAAAAGGCACTGTTGTGCAGAATGTATACGAACTGGTAAAAACGGGATATATAAGGAACACATACACAAAGACAATAAGAGAAGACAGACTTAAGTATCAGATGAGGCTTATCTATAAATATATCTTCAATCCGAAAAGCTTATTACGTTATGCAACCTCTCTTCGATAAGCTAAAATCAGAGTTTTTCAAATGCTGGGTTCAAATGACCTGACCAACAACGACGGTGATGCCGCTAGTCTTCTGGCTGAACAGTACTTCCGAACATTTCAACCAACCCACACTAACTATATTGATGAAAGCTTCGTCCGCAACTGCGCAGGACTTTTCGTAGTGAACCTGAGCGCTGACTTGGTTTACCGGAAGCTGTAGCACCTGAAAAAAGCACCCCTCCTGATCCTGATATGGCTCATTCTGCTACCATGATGGAAGCAGCTTCAATCCCGGCTGTACTGCTTAGCGTGATGTTCTTACACCCACTAAGCCGAGGCACATGACCGGAAATTCAGAAGCTGGCTCACATCACACCAATTTTCAAAGGAGTTCGACACAGTGAATCTTCAGTCTACCAACCGGTGGTTCTTCTCTTCACACTTTCAAAAATCATGAAGTCCCTGATATGTGACGATATACACGACAATTTATTAGCCATAAACTTCTTTTCATCTCAACAGCACGGTTACAGGAAGGATCATTCTTGTATGACGAAACGGCTAAGCGTGGTGGACATATGGACAACCATCCTTGGTTGCAAGGGCAAGGTCAAAGTCATTTACCTTGACTTTTGAAAGGCTTTTGATAGGGCCAGCCATATATGTCTTACCAACAAGCTCAAACTATTGGGGATCAAATCACCTCTAATTGACTGGCTCACTTTATATTTAAAAAACCGACATTTTAGGGTTAGTGGTGACTTCACTTTCTCTCAGGTTGTGCAACGTCCTAGTAGGGTCCCCCAGGGCTCGGTACTATAACGTCTTCCTTTCTTGTTTTATATAAACGATATTCCACAACAGATATCGTCAGACGTTGGAGAGGGATATGCAACCAAGGAGATAAACTGGCACTTCAGGAGGTCCTGACTCGACTTTAAAGTTGGAAAGATGACAATGGACTCACCTTTAACACTTCAAGGTCTAAAGTAGTCCATATGAGACATGTTGTAGACTACAGCTACAACATAGGCAACTCCATCTAGAAGTACCCCAAAGTCGGGACAAATTGAGAAGTGCTGGTACTCCAGGATTTCGAGCGAAACTTGCTCTGGTAACATTGGGGCGCATTCTGGCCAGTTTCACGGAAGAGCTTTCAACAGAACTTTTAACAGTTTTATTTGCCCCCATTTAGAGTACGGAAACAGTCTTTCTTGCCTCACTTCAAAAGTATAAGGACACTCTGGAACGTGTCCAACGGCGAGGCACGAAATCAGTCGAGGGACTCAAATTCAAGCCTTATGAAGAGCGCCTTTATTCACTAAACCTTTATCCATTAAAGCCCAAGCGACGTAGAGGTGATCTAATGGCTTACAGCATCTTAAATGCTTATGGACATCCCCTACTTAAGTAGAGCTCCAACACAAACCTAGGGGGTAACAACTTCCACTACTTAAGAGTAGTTAAATACTGGAATTCACTGCCAGCTGTGCTATTTCAAGCAACTTCCCAGTAGTCCTTCATGAGAAAACTTGACATATCCTTAAGCATAGTATCTTATAATTATTTAACAAATTCTTTATCCTCTTTTATCGTTAATATACCTAGGCTCTTGCCTGAAGGTATTGGTGATCCAATGCTACTAGACACGGAAGCCTGTTAAGAGAAAGCCTCTTCTATTCCGTACATAACCATTTGAATGAAACCTTCACTCAATATTGAACCATTTGGTGCGGGAGATTCCTTCTTATTACAACCAGAAAGGAGTTTGTTACCAGTTGTATAATCACTAAGATTTGGGTTGATTTGAAGGAGTACTGGGTAGGAATAGGTTTTTGGAATGTTTATTTAGTTCTGTATTTGTATAAATGTTGAATACATCACTAATCACATTAAGTGCAGTACGTCGCCTTGTTAAGTTTTGTAGAAAATTTATTTATTAAGTAATTATCTGCATCTTGGCGTTTACATAACGGAATTATATGACCTGTTCACTCATGGCATCTTACTTTTTGGCCACGTCAGAAAAGGGAGCTAAAAACATGTTTGATCCAATAAGCACAAAAATGTCCCAAAATCACAGTCATATCTTATTTATGAGCTCCCTATTATGGGTTAAAAATGATATCAGTCTAAGTACTCAGTAATTAGGTTCTGGCGTTCTGTAGACAACTTAGTGCACAAATTTTGTGTTCACTCAAAAGCCTCATAAGCTGAACATTGGTACCTAAATGGATTATTCTAGACGACTTGTCTTGTTACTGGTTCACGTGTAGAGATCGTTTAAAGTTAAATATGTGAATACCTGTAAAACCCCAGTTAAAAATTTCACTAGTCATCTTATGTTAAAACCTAAAATATAATTCCAATCTAGAAGGACTCTTAGTGATTCGATTTCAAGTCGTCAGTGGCTTTAAATAGAACTGCTGCCGACTTGCCAAATTGTAACGTAAGAAATCATGGCGTAGAATGCCAACCTACTAGGCTGATACATTAGTTGAGGTAGTGAATTTGGACGGATGTCATGTCAGGCTATTGAAGCTCGTGGCAAAAACCTATGCTTAAAAGGTTCTCAGAGAGTTGGATCTGTAAAGTCACTTGTTGATCGTAGTTATTAGTATGTAATGAGGTGAAGTTCATTAAAAACCGGTTATGAGTATACTCACTTTACCCACACCTCTAAAATATTTATTATTGTGTATACGTTTTCGTGTTCAGTCTACTCTGTTGCAAAACCTAACATATGAAAGTAATGCAATTTTGTGTGCGGCTCCGTAGTTTTGCACGGACTACTAGTTTTTTTTCACGTTAAATTAGTCTCATGAGTAGTAGAAGGGAATTTTTTACATTATTTAAGAAAATGTGACTTTATAATTCAACGTATCTTTTTAGTAGTCTGAGAATTATCCAGTAGGAAGATAATTCACTTCGCGTTTGAGAATCCCACTCCGAAACAATGAATATTTTACCAAAAAAGAGGTAATGTTTCTTTATATGCTATTGATTAACAGATGGCATGTCTTAAAAAAAGAGAACATTGCTCGGGTGAGGTCAGATGAGGCAAAATATAAGGACCAGCGAAGAAAGATTGAAATTAGAGCACAACTTGCTGTAAGGCATCTCAGAATCTTCGATTGACTTTATACGTTTAGGATCAGGAAGCGCGAATAGATTATTTAAGAAGACAAAAAAATAACCTAACATCTAGCTCGGGATCAGGTGGATTCCAGATAACTCTAACAAAAGATAGTATCGTAAGTTGCGGATCGCAATAATCGGATAGCCAAAAGCTGAATGTCTCACAAGGAAACGCAGAATACGAAAGTGAGAAGAAGATCGAACAAGAAAAAAAAGAGAAAGCAGTTGGGATTTTGACTTATTTAGGCCAAACTGTTCTTGATGCTGCCGGTGAAAAGCCGTGGTATGATGTGCACCCTCGAACTCATGAGCGTCGTGAAAGCGAACAAAGAAAGTAAGCGCTATGGCATTTGATGATCAATCGATAGGAACAAAGAAGAACTGGAAATAAAGAAGAAGACATTGGCCGACCCATTAACAGAAATGAAGAAGGTCGAGGAGATGTTCAGACACAACAAGGAAGTAAAGAGACAGAGCGAAGCAGCTGAACTTCAACGTGCCAGTGCTTGCATTCATGCTATGCCCACCTTATTTCCTGATGACATAATGGTACCAAAGTGCCCATACAAAGAGGTTTGTTTAGGTCTAGTTCTACTTTGCTGTTTCTAAGCTTTTATACTTATGCGACTAGCGGGTTAATTTATATGTCATTTTGTTGTTAGCAGAAACTGGAAACTATCATCACGGTGTAGAAAGTTGCTTTTAGCCATTAATATTTATCTAAAACATGGAAGACGATTGATAGCGTTGTTTCGTTGATTACAGAAGCTCACTGTGCTCTGCATTGAAATCGATAACTGGTTCGCGTATACCTTATACTTTGGTAACTTAAATTTCAGTAGCGGTAATTTTTAGCGAACGGTCAGTTAATCTAAGTACTCAACCACTGGATCGCTTGAGGTACTTCGGTTTTAGAAGCCAAGTAGTATATCAAACCACATAACAAAAGTGACTCGAAACAAAGTAGAAAATTCAATGCTTGATCAACTAAGTCATCATTCGCACTACACTACACTATTTTTTTAAAGGTAAATGAGCCAAAAATAAAGCACAAAACAACCGCAGACGCGCAATTTGTAAATCATGTAAGTTTCGATGATGTAGGAGTTTAGTACAGTTTTTATGCATCGGTGCGGAAAGTTTGGGCCTCCATCGACTAAATTCCTGAATATTTTCATGGCAATAATATCGTTTATTCAAAATTTAAAGAGAGACGATAAGTTTGATGAGGTCCCACTTCACTATTGTGGCAAACATTGTAGATCCGCGCTGGTTCTGTGATGCATAGTAATAGTTATTGCATTTTTTCTTACTCGCGTATTGCTATGGATATTTGCGTGATTTAAAACTTGTATAACTATGAAATTCGTCCCAAAAAGATTTTCGATGGTATCTTTGTTTCTTTACATATATACAGTTCCATTATGAATATCGCGCATATTTATGGTGCTAATATTATTTACTCTTTGATTAATGTTTGTAACGGTGTTTTGCTATAGTAAAACTTTTCTTTCGTATAGGCTTCGAAAAGTCGACGAACAGGTAATAGGTATACTCAATCACTTACTGAAACTTCATGTAATTCATTTGGGGAGCTAACAAAGGATTTATCCACAGGGGTTTCTCTGAATCCCGAAAGTATGGATAAGAAATCAGAATCGATTGAAATGGCCAAGCGTTCAGATATCAATCGTCTTCGGGCTGAAAGACTGCAACGAGAACGAAAGGAAAGAGACAGGGCAGCAGTTTTACTGGCTAAATCTTTTGGTTTAGATGCTTTAAAAACTCCAGATCAAGAACAAGCGTATGTAGACGAACGAAATTTGCCCTTTAATTCTGCATTTAATCCTGAACTGTCAGCTATCCTGGCTGAACGACGTCAACGATATCGTGAGTCGAGAAAGCGGAGTTACAAAGAGTTGGATTAAATCTTTGCTAATAGTGATTTCCCAAACTGTACATATTGTGTATCTTTTTCATTTTCACAAATGATCTGAAAACTATCGGAGTATGTTATGTGTGTGTAGTTATAGTCGTTTAGCCAGAGCCTTTAGTTATCGTTTTTGATTATCTCCAAAATAAAACTACCCTTTAATTGTGGTTTTCATTTGTTTTACTAAGGCTGAAACAAGTATAAACAAAGTATAGTCTGGTGATTTTGGTGTCATCATACTTAACTCCTGACCAAATTATTTAGCAGTCGGACAGCACGCAGTGCAGCTTGTTATTCCATAATAAACTAACAAGTACATACACAACGATGGTAAGCATCCCAAATAAAATGCTTATGTATGAGTAGTTACGGTTTTCTTTGGTAAGCGAGGAAAAGGGTAAGCTGTCTTGAGAGAGATTAAGTGGAAATTAATAAATGAGGAGGAACTTGGTTCATTTCATATATAAAATGACATGTTTTCTTAAAATACACAGACCGAAGACGATATATAGTTGAATGAAATTTCTCGCATCACTTACGTAGACACACAATCTGTTATCTTAACACTTTTTGTTTCACACCACATGTCTCTTACACACTTATGTAAATACCTACTTCAAACAGTGTTCACATTGATTAGATGACTTATTCATTGTACAGTGAACCGGAGAACCATGTACCTATTTATATTCAATAATTTTGTTGTTTGATTATATGTTCCTTGAAAAAGCCTGGACCAGATTGCCAGGGGAAACGTTGGATTTACTTAAAATTCTTTCGCTAAGATTTTACAAATACATTCTTCCTCTTTAATGTAACTCAGTTTGATTACACACTATTAGTTCGTTATACTAAACCTTTAAATGAAATAAGTAAAAGTATGTTCACACTGAACTACAGAAACTTTATAATGTGGCGAAAATCTAGTCAGGATATAAATTTCCTCGTAATTGGACAATGATAATAGATATGAACAAGTTTAGTTAGGTTTAATTGAAACGTTAGAATAGCGTAAATGAATGCACTATAGTTAATATACACAGGAAGGTAAGTATTCGTAACCAAATAAATCTCCAAGTGGGCAGTACTTAAAAGCCTGAAAGCCGAGAAATAAAAACTATGAGGATGAAGGCGTTTAACTAAATGTTAGTGAAAAAAATCAAGATATTCACTAACGGCAACCAACCTCTGCACTTAAAGTAACTGCAATGGTTATGGTTCTAGAGGTGAAACACCTGATAAGTTGGTCTGTACTTCAACTAAACAACTGACCTAAACCAGTTTATAGTATAGGAAATCAACTTGGGTTAGGAATAAAAAATAGTTTACACAATACAGAATATTAAAAGTACAGATAATGGGATAGAAGTGTACGGTTAGTGAAGTCTTCGAATGATAAACAGCTAACCAAACGAATACTGTAAGAGGATTATTTCACATGTACTTGGAAGTTTAAGAAAACAGGGAACATTGTCCCGAACTATATACACTTTTAAGGTGCAATATGCTACAATTTCTTTAAAAAGCTTAAACAGTCATCAGGGATATCGACACCTTGGATAATGCTATCTATTGGAAATATTTGTTCAATTATAGAAGTCAAACATTTGCTCAGTTGGAACATTGTAGGTCGAATCATGGGATTTACAGCCCAACCACTGAAAAAAGAGAAGGGTCAAAAATAAGAAAACTTAGTTCCGAAATAACGTAGTTCGATATCTTATTATGACGAGTAAACTATATTAAGTAAAAACATATATATCAAACGATGTTTCAAATAATTGTAGCCCCGAGGTGGCTTCTTTGCATTGCACGTGCTTGAGCGAAACGTTATTTACGTAGGTTTCTGTAAATACATCATAAGTGGAGATACTGTAGCAAGTTTGAGGTGACATTATTGACCAATTAGTAGGAGATTATTAAAGGGAGCTAAAGTACATATGCAAATGTTGCTGTAAATTAAAAGTACGTTTGATGTAAAGATGTAACGGGCTCCATATGACAATATAAGAATAAATCATGCAGAAACCAATTCAAATTTCTGTGCCTATATCAACGTTTCTTACCTCAACTCATGGCTCTGAAAGGCGAAATAATGAAAAAGGTTATTTTCAATTAGAGCAATTTATTAACTATTCTAAAGCACCTTGAATACTTCTAGTTCATTACTTTAAGAATGACTGAGATAGATTCAACTAGTTGAGTAAGGTAATGACTAACACTTGTACAAGGTATGAAGTAGTAGCTGAAAGTCCAAACGCTAATCAAAGATCCTATTAATCGAAAAAGATTTTAAACAAAACTCCGTGAAGATATTCAGAAAAGCAATTTTGTGAATGCTCAACTCTATGAGGAAACATGAACAATGAATAAACATGATAATGTAATATAAAGATTTGAATACTAGTGTAAATGATAACAATATGCGGATGTGTATCCTCCACAGAATTAGCACAAATAAAGGAGTGCAAACGTAATCATATTGGATGATAGTGTGAATAAAGTAAGATAGAAGGTTTTTATCACAATAACTAAAGGTATTAGGGATAGTAAGTGAAGTGATATCAGAAACGATTTCGAATAAAATCATAGATATGGGAACTAATTGGAGAATGAGTGGTATTTTCTAATGTTAAATCAATTAAATGAAAATAACAGGTTAAGGTCACAATAAAAACAAAAACAAGACATGCTTTTTTTGTACACAATATTTAGACTTCATCCCATGAATAGAAAGAATATCTACTGTTTTAAGAAGTTGGATATGAAGTCTTGGCAGAATCGCACGGATTCTATAAACAACATGAGTCAGTTGAGTGGTAACAGTTTATTAAGTGTCCGAGGATAAAATGCCTAAATGATTTACTCTGATTGTTGCAAGAACAAGCTTAGACATATCCTGTCAATGCTGAAGGCAGGTGTTGACTGTTTATGTACCTTAACGTACAGAAGTAGGCATGGAGTTGAACCATCTCTCATTCTTTCCCTCCCACGATGTATATACGACTGCACAACTTGGTAAGGAATTCGGCGAAAGCACAATGATTCTCTGAATGTCGTGTCAAACGTTTGCCAAGTTGTTAAATGAACTAAAATAGCTAAATCAGCATCACAGAACAGTGACTATTGCTAGTAATTTCTAACTACCCCGGGCTTGCCTATCGTGATGACCCAACCGAGCTATATTGGCTTGAACACATGTTCCTGCAGGTTCTACCATGCCAGGCAGATCGATTGGAGAACGGTAAGACTAAAAGCAGCAACTCGAGGTCTGACGGCGAAGTCGTACTGCTGACTGTACAGAGGTGTGACAGCAGTAAGGTGTTTCCCTCGGACAACCAGCATCTGCAGCGTTGCTGCCTTCTCACAAGGGAAGAAGGGGTTAGAAAGGGTTGACTCTAAAACTGTCACACCTCACCTTACCCCACGGGTTTCCGTCTCCGGCGGTAAAGCCCTTTAAAGAACAGAGATGACACATTAATAACCTCCCACAAAAAGGCCGTTCGCGACAGGCCTCAAGCAGTTGTCCCTTGGGCTCTGCGGTCACGCACTCAGGTCGCTAAGACCGACACTAATCCGATTTCCTTTTCAGGTTCCTCAAGAAATACCCTTCCACGGTGTGGGCAACCGGGAAGTGACATCAGCCCTCATGCCCGTAACAACACACGAGACCAAGCTGGTCAAATTCAAATCCTTCCTACACCTCCTAATAACTCTCTTATCTCCACGACTAACCCTTCTCACGTCCCTTTATCACCTAGTACCGCTAGTGCGAACGATTCGAGTACGCGGAATGTTATTCCTGGTCTCCTGAAACCACGCTCCAAACTACACGTAGGAGCTTTCAACGTCCGAACACTGTGCCAAATGGGACAACAGGCTTCCTCAGCTAGGACTTTAGAATCTCGCTCCATCGATGTGTGCTGCGTCTCCGAAACGCGCACACAGGAACCCAGTAGTGTCATTCATTTGACCACACCATGTCAAAGTAACGAACCAACCCGATTTACGCTTCGTGTATCTGGAAGCCCTGATGCTGCTTCCCGTGGCCTCGCTGGCGTAGGTATATCATTGAGTCCTAGGGCAGAACTAGCTCTCTTAGACTGGATCCCAGTAGACAGTCGTTTGTGTGCTGTCCGACTAAACGGAACAGTAAGGACCCGGAAAGATAGGGACACTCGTCGTTGCCTCTTCGTCGTCTCTGCCTACTGTCCCACTGACTGCAGTTCAGATGATGGAAAATATGAGTTTTACAGAAAGCTTTCCGACCTTCTCCGAAAAGCTAGGCGTTCAGATGTAGTAATAGTGGCTGGTGACTTTAATGCTCAAGTAGGTAAACTAAGCGAGAAGGAAAGACACCTGGGTGGATCTTATGGTGTTGCGGTTCAAAGAACAGATAACGGCGACCGTCTGTTGCAGCTATGCTCAGATAGCCGCCTGTTTCTTGCAAACACTAACTTTAAGCATAAGGAAAAACATCTTTTAACATGGCGACCCCCTAATTCGTCTCAACGCTGGACCCAAATAGATCACATCGCTATCAGCCACCGATGGAGGGGATCGATAGAAGACTGTCGCTCATTCTGGGGCACATGCTTAGACTCAGAGCATGCTCTGATGCGAGCGCATATTTGTCTACTTCTTGCTGGACGTAGGAAAGATGGTGCAAGGAAACCCATTAGGGTCCTACTTAATGATAGTCAAGCTAGGAGTATATTTCAGGAACAACTAGAAAAACAGTTAGGCAGCCATGTAAGTGATGCCCACCCCGAGGCAGCGTGGAATGACATCCGAAAAGCTGTAGAAACAGCAGCGATGTCTGCAAGTACGGTAAACCATAAGGTTAGGGAGAAACACTGGATCTCAGCAGCGTCTACCGCACTGATAGATGCTCGTAAACTCATTCCATCTGGCTCTGAACATAACGAAGAGCGGAGTCAGCTTAAGCGTAAGCTGACTAGAAGCCTACGCAATGATCGTGAACAGTGGTGGGTAGCGAAAGTAAGAGAGATGGAAAAGGCAGTGGCAATAGGTAACATCAGGCAACTGTTCAGACTTGTTAAGGAAACCGGTATTAGGAACCCGACTGTTAGCGAAACGATCTCAGAGAAAGATGGACATATTATTCATTCTCAATCCAGGAGATTGGATCGATGGGTAGAACACTTTAGGGATCAGTTCAACTGGCCTTCAGCCACACTTCTGTTTCCCACGATCTGCAATCTACCTGAATGGCAAGTTAATGTAAGTGCTCCGACTCTTTACGAAGTTGAAAAAGCTATCGGAAATCTGAAGCGTGGGAGAGCAGCAGGCCCTGACAGGTTTACCCCTGAGATTTTTAAGGATGGTGGTCCAGTATAAGCAGCGAGATTGACTGAGGTCTTAGGTAGAATCTGGGAACTGGACGTAATCCCATCTGACTGGTCTCAATCACTGATTGTGCCAGTCCTTCAACATAGACACACATTCAGACGCCCCACAATGGTAGTATTACTCGACCTTAAGGCGGCATTTGACTCTGTTGATCTTGAGGTTCTATGGCAGTGTTTGTCACTGAAAACAGTACCAAAGAACTACATCAACCTTATAAAAGCTCTCTACTCGAACACAACTGGTCGAGTGAGAGCTTATGGCAAACTGTCATCAGAACTGATTAGCTCAAGTGGTATTCGTCAGGGATGTCTACTCTCTCCATTCCTATTTAAATTTGTCGTTGACGTGCTTTTAGAGATAACACTTTCCACATCTGACTTTTCAGGGGTTGAACTCCTACCGAAAGATTCACTTGTTGACTTAGAGTATGCCGTTGACATAGTTCTATTTGGTGAAGACGCTGACAAAGTGCAGAGTCTGCTGACCACTCTAAGCAACACTGCAAGCATGTTCGGCATGCGATTTTCTCACTCAAAATGCAAAACGCTGCTTCAGGATTGGGTTGCACCGCCACCCGAACTAGTGATAGGAAGTGAAGTAGTTGAGTGTGTCGACCACTTCACTTATCTTGGAAGTCCCATCAGCCCTTGTGGTCTGGTGTGTGACGAAATCTCAGCAAGGATACAGAAGGCTCGACTAGCTTTTGCCAACTTGCGTCATTTGTGGCGTAGGCGATATATCCGTCTATCAACCAAAGGACTTGTTTACTGCGCAGCAGTTCGTTCCGTCCTACTTTATGGCAGTGAAACATGACCAGTAAGAGTAGAGGATATTCATAGGTTACTAGTATTTGATCATAGATGTCTTCGAAACACTGCTCGTATATCCTGGGACCACCGAGTAAGCAACTCAGTTGTTAGGAAACGGGTACTAGGTAAGGATGGGAAATCAATTGATGAAATAGTGAAACTTAATCAGTTGAGATGGCGGGGACAGGTGTTACGCATGCCCGACAAGAGATGTTTTATGGTGTAGGAGTAGGTTGGAAGAAAGCTAGGGGCGGCCAGACCAAAACTTGACACAAATCCATGAAGTCACTGACAAGTGGACTGAGCCATGTTGGTAGGTGTAGACTACCTGGTTAGGGACCGCGAGATGATAACAACCGATGGTTAGAGACCTTGAATGACATGCCTCAAAAGCGTTTGTAATGACGCAGATGCATCTACTCTCTGTGTTCTCTCAAACTCTAATCTTCTGTATTCTTCATGTCCTTTATTTTCTTTCCAAATCTATTCCACTGGACTATACTCCTTAAATAACATCATCAAACCCTAATGTTCCCGATTAATACTTATACTTTCACTACCTCTACCACTACGGGATTTGAATCGATAACTGAATCTCTGTGCTAACGTGGTATGGCAACTCGAAGTAATGTACGTACGTACGAAGTTCCACGTTATTATTGACTAACTGAATTTGTAACTACATCTCATCAACTAGTTCATGAATCATATACATTGACATGATCGTTCTTAATTAGAAACTGAACTATCTAGACAAACACTACTCGGTTTCGAAATAACGGGGCGAATAGCGTGAAAGTATAACTTTTGGGACTATCATACGAAGGTTCATTAATTATACTTTTATTGTATACTAAGTGAATGCTTGGATCTTTGTGTTCTTATATTTGCCTATTTCTAAACTTTACGTTAACCTGTAACTCATTGCTATGTCTTATTGTTCTAGATTCATCATTAATGAATTATTTCTCTAGCACTACGGTTTTGTATCACTCATGACTAAGCTATGTATACTTCGTAGTTTTCTGTTTCTATGAGGTCGGTCATTTTAGGTACATTATCGTTAGTTTTGAGTCTGGATTGAATACAGTACAGCAGCTAATTATTTATTTTCCATCTTCATTTTAACTCCGCCTGGAGTCCCTTTCGGGGGGCTACTGCCGGTCCCAAGCCCGGGTAAAGGAGGAGGTTTGGGCATGGGGTTAGCGTCCCCATCCAGTAGAAAACTAACTCGCTAAAAAAAACGCTAACCAGAAAAAATAACTCAAACCATTTAAACTCAACCCTGGGAGATAGAGGTAATATGACGCTTCATGGTGAAAGCCGAGTTCCTTCAGAAGCCACGAGGCCGATGCCCCTTCTAACAACCAGAGCAACAATTTTTATAGGTACATGGAACGTCCGGACAATGTGGGAGACCGGGAAGACCAGTCAAATAGCATCAGAAATGAGGAGATACAACTTGGCAGTGCTGGGAATCAGTGAAACCCATTGGACCCAAGCTGGACAACAAAGGCTAAATACGGGAGAGATGCTGCTATACTCCGGTCACAAAGAGGAAAATGCTCCACACACTCAGGGAGTTGCTCTAATGCTGTCCAAAGTAGCACAAAATGCACTAGTAGGATGGGAATCTCACGGATCCAGAATCATCAAAGCATCATTCAAAACAAAGAAGGAGGGGATCACAATGAACATTATCCAATGTTATGCACCCACCAATGATAGCAACGACGACGTTAAAGATCAATTCTATGAGAGGCTGCAATCAATCATAGAGAAGTGCCCAAGAAAGGACCTCACCATTCTAATGGGAGATCTAAACGCCAAAGTCGGAATGGACAACACTGGATATGAAGACATCATGGGACTACATGGACTGGGAGAGAGAAACGAAAACGGGGAAAGATTCGCAAATCTGTGTGCATTCAATAAATTGGTCATAGGCGGTACAATATTTCCACACAAACGTATACACAAAGCTACGTGGATCTCACCGGACCACACCACAGAGAATCAGAGAGATCATATTTGCGTCAATAAAAAGTTCCGAAGGAAAATGGAAGATGTAAAAACCAGGAGAGGAGCGGACGTAGCTTCAGATCACCACCTGGTTGTAGCCAATTTAAAACTGAAGCTGAAGAAGAACTGGACAACTGGACAAACAGCACCACAAAGGTTCAATACAGCCTTCCTTCGAGATACTGACAAACTCAATGAATTCAAGGTAGCTCTCAACAATAGGTTCCAAGCCTTACAGGACCTACTGAAGGAAGAAGAAACTACTATGGAGGATAGCTGGAAAGGTATCAAAGAAACATTAACTTCAACGTGTGAAGAGGTTCTGGGCCTCAAGAAGCATCTTCACAAGGAATGGATCTCTATAGAAACACTGGACAGGATCAAAGAAAGAAAGAACAAGAAGACAGCAATTAACAACAGTGGAACACGAGCAGAGAAAGTCCAAGCACAAGCTGAGTACATAGAAGCAAACAAGAAAATGAAGAAGAGCATTAGAGCTGACAAGCAAAAATATGTGGAAGAACTAGCAAGAGAAGGAAATATGAGACAGCTTTACGATACGACGAAGAAGCTAGCAGGGAAATAAAGTAAACCAGAGAGACCAGTCAAAGACAAAGAAGGAAGACTAATTACTGAGATTCAACAACAGCGGAACAGATGGGCAGAGTACTTCGAGGAACTCCTGAACAGGCTGGTTCCAATGAATCCACCGGACATCGAAGCATCACACACAGATCTTCCTATAGATGTCAATCCACCAACGACAGAAATCAGAATGGCCGTCAGACAAATCAAGAGCGGGAAAGCAGCAGGACCTGACAATATACCAGCTGAAGCGTTGAAGTCAGACATCCAAGTAACTACAAGCATGCTTCATCTTCTATTCAAGAAGATTTGGGAGGAGGAACAAGTTCCGATGGATTGGAAAGAAGGACACCTCATAAAGATTCCAAAGAAAGGAGATCTGAGCAAGTGTGAAAACTACAGAGGCATTACACTACTGTCAATACCAGGTAAAGTCTTCAACAGAGTGTTACTGAACAGGATGAAAGACGCAGTAGACGCTCAACTTCGAGATCAACAAGCTGGATTCCGTAAGGACCGGTCGTGCACAGACCAGATTGCGACACTACGGATCATCGTCGAACAATCAATTGAGTGGAACTCGTCACTGTACATCAACTTCATTGATTATGAGAAGGCATTTGACAGCGTAGATAGGAGGATGTTATGGAAACTTCTTCGACACTACGGAGTTCCTGAGAAGATTGTCAACATTATCCGGAACTCATACGATGGACTACAGTGCAAAGTAGTGCATGGAGGACAGCTGACTGACGCATTCCAAGTAAGGACCGGAGTAAGACAAGGCTGTCTACTCTCTCCCTTCCTGTTTCTCCTGGTAGTCGACTGGATTATGAAGACCTCGACATCTGAGGGAAACCACGGCATACGATGGACAGCTCAGAACCAATTAGAAGACTTGGACTTCGCAGATGACCTAGCCCTCGTATCACATACACACGAACAAATGCAGATAAAGACAGCCAACATAGCAGCAGTCTCTGCATCAGTAGGCCTCAACATACACAAAGGGAAAACCAAGGTCCTCAAATACAACACGGAGAACAGCAATCCAATCACTCTTGATGGCGAAACTCTGGAAGACGTGGAATCCTTCACATACCTGGGAAGCATCGTCGATAAACAAGGAGGTTCAGATGCAGACGTCAAGGCGAGGATTGGAAAAGCTAGAGCGGCATTCCTTCAACTGAAGAACATATGGAACTCAAAACAACTTTCAACCAATATCAAAGTCAGAATCTTCAATACGAACGTCAAGGCAGTTCTACTGTACGGAGTTGAAACTTGGAGAACTACAACAACCACCATCAAGAAGGTACAGGTATTTATCAATAGCTGTCTACGCATGATACTCAACATCCATTGGCCGGATACCATCAGCAACAGCCTTTTGTGGGAGAGAACCAACCAGCTTCCAGCGGAAGAGGAAATTAGGAAAAGACGATGGAAATGGATAGGACATACATTGAGGAAATCATCAAACTGCATTACGAGACAAGCGCTAACTTGGAATCTTGAAGGGAAGCGGAAAAGAGGAAGGCCAAAGAACACATTACGTCGGGAAATAGAAGCAGATATGAAAAGAATGAATGAGAACTGGAAAGAGCTTGAAAGGATTGCCCAGGACAAGGTTGGATGGAGAATGCTGGTGAGCGGCCCATGCTCCTTCACGAGGAGTAACAGGCTTAAGTAAGTAATCTTCATTAGATCAGACACTGAGTTAAACTAAGCGTTAAGGTCTTGGTTGTTGTTTATTGGTTTGTGATTTGGAAAACTAGAGGTCATCAGCCCAACAGGGGATTACAAACGAGCTAATCAATATTCAAACTACAAAATACAACGGCGCGATCATACAAGCTCCAATATAACGCAAGAATTTGTTTTGTTTGGCGTCGCATTAACTTTTTCCAGTGAAGTCTGATAGTTCTTAGATATTTTGTTGCTAAATTAACTAACTCGCTTATACTTAATACTTTAACTGATTCTGTCAATCGTGACACACTAAAATCTATTAATGTGAGAGTTATTATACGTGAGTGTTTTCCCATCCAGGAATAAGAAGGACGACTTACCTTTCAATAATAATGCTTAGTAGTTCAGGACACCCAGCTAATGTAGGTGGTCGCTGAGTAATAGAAGTCCAAAACTTGTCCGCTACATCACGTCTTTTCAGGATTTTATTTGGAGGCTCACGAGCTAGAAATTCCCAAAAAGTAACCGTTAAACTGTAGACATCAGATTTTTCTGAGTACGGTAATTTTTCACCTGGATATATTTGTTGATGAGGTAAAACCGGAAAAAATAGGTGATGAGTAAATGAGAGTATATTATTTATTTATTTATTTGAATACATAAATATTGGTACAAAGGGATACCAAATACATATGCGCCACACAAATCAAATGAGATTTGTGTGTGGGCTATGATACTTCCCGAGTGCCCAAACCGAAGTAGGGGGTTTTCCTAGGGGTCTACATCCTGAGCCTTTGACCTAAAGGTCTGATCCACAAGACAGTGGAGCAACGTTAGGAGATACAGTCCCATGGTAGCCGGTGACCAACGATTGGTCCATACGCCCATGTGTACCATTGGTTTGGAGTCAGGGTTTTTCAACTCCCCTAGGTGGACTCTCCATGTCCACCGACCCGGTTAAAGCGCCAGACATTCGCTCTTCGTCCTTTCAATTTCGTAAACAACACCCTTGCCACGAGAAGGTAGTGAGTAGGACTTCCTTGACAATGGCTGTATACGCGTGACCATGTGAGAGCATTTCAAGAGGGAAAGCTGACTCTCCATACCCTCGGCCGTACCAGGGCTAGATAGGAACAATAAATGAGAGTAGCGGTGACTTTACGTGAGCGAGTTATGTTGGTCGAAGCTCTAGGAATTTACGTTTTCGTGCTCGTGAACACCTTCCAGTGTGGCTTAACAAAGGTTTGATGAAAAAAGTGAACAGCTCAATATTGGCCCATGTAGTACAAACTGGTCATAATGCCAGTATAAACCAATCTTTTTCAATTATTTATAAGGTCAGTAATTTTTTGCCAAAACTGGCCAGACTGAAAGTCCTTCAAACGGCTGAAGCAGTAGCCATCCGGATGAAGAAACCGGAGCTATGCGTACAGAAGGAATATCTTCAGCCACTCCTACTTCTCTGGCCAACATCAAGGCCAATTAATCGAACATAATCTTAACTATTGACCATGACCTTTCGTAGTCAATTGTAATTGTCTGTGTTATCTTTATTCATAAATCCGTGTATTATTATTCGTATTATTGGTTAAACATCATTATTAATCTCCCCTATACATGATCCATTCACTTTTCATTCTTCCCTCCTTATTACGTCTTACTTATTTGATCGAATGGTAATTGCACTATTATCTCTCACCCTACTTTACCCATATTTATTCTGATCATGGATCTAAAAATCTCACTTAGCATATACGAAGATTAAAGTTAACATTCTATCTGAGTCATATCGACATTAACAATTTGATTGTATTTTGTCTATCACAGTTCTAAATTCACATGCTTTAAACGATGTACTTTGCCCTTAACCTGGCCATTTATCGGATTATTAATTTGGATATATAATTGTAGAACTTGAAGAGAATTCATCAAAAGAATATTCTTCGTTCAAATACTAGTCTTTTAATATGACGGGGATCTTTAAATGATTTTACGTGACTCAAAAATCCAAGACAAAGATTAAACAAAAAAATATTTTTACTAATTCTAGGTGTATCATGTTGGTTTAAAAAATAAGTTAGATGAGGAAATAGTCACGTTCAATACTACATAAACATATGATATTCGTTTGATGAACCGCACATTAGATTAAAAAAAGAGTAATCCAGAAATGTTTGTTGGGTGGTTAGAGATAAATTGACAACTAGAATACCGAAACTGGACTTGGATTCAAACTCTGGAACTCTTCTACTTATTGGGTGGCGAAAAATACGCTACATACAATAAAGTGTATTGTGATTAGTTTCTGTCACCTATCACAAGTGTGAGTTTATTTAGTATCTTTTTATTTAATAATTAGCGTTTCCTGACTTACAGAAATTTATACGCATTTTCACGACAATAAATCTACTGATAAGGTTGAGGAAAGTTTTACATTTTATATAAACTGTTTCTATGTTAACCATATGAGTAACTACAGTTAGGATATATTGTATTTGCGTTAGACAATGATATAGTGAATAAAATTAGATAGATTAGGGGAAATCAATAGGATTCATTATTAGTGATAAATGCACCGAATCATATTTACTTACCACTTCGAACTGTCCATAGTTCTGGGGCCATATAACACAGAGTTCCAAAAACAGAAGGTTCGTCAGACAAAGTAGTTCTAGATGATCCAAAATCACCTAATTTAACTAAACGCAGTCTATCAAAACCTAAAATATTGGAAGGTTTTATATCTCCATGTATAACTGAGGGGGAACATGAACGATGTAAATAGTCTGAAGCCCGACTAATTTGCAATATCCAATTCAAAGTATTAACCAGGTTATAATGAACTCCAGAGAAGTCATACAAAACTAAATAGCAAAATAAAACAATGTGATTTTATAAGACTAATAGTTAAAACAAAATTCCACAGCACAGATTTCGGTGAACATGAAGATGTTGACACTTGATGAAGACGCGACAGAATGCGGAGCGATAGCTTACTAGCAAAAACCTTGACTTTCAACCAATAGATTTCCAGATAATAACAATAACCTTTATGTGAACAACGTAGTTTAAAGCCGAGTACATAAACCACTTTTACTTGGTAAATAAGAGTATACAAAATATCTATGAGGTCCACATAGTCTTTAGGACTTACTTCCTTTTCTGTAATATACCCACGAAATTACATTTACGGAATGGAGATTTTATTTGGTGTGACAGACTGCACTCTTGTCGTTAGGCTGGAATGAATTTACTAGGGGGTTTAAAATGAAACACTGTACGTGAATGAGGAGCTCGAAACATATAAGTACGCTACTTGTTCGACAATAACCACACATAACATTTCAAGAGTCTGCTAAAAAACGAAACCACCAAATTCCAGCACAAAAGAGTTGACTTTCAGTAAGCTTTGAATATTTCGAGGTGTCTGAATCATCATTTAATTTACTGAGTGCTCTTTTTTGACAGAGGCAGCTAATGACGGTCTTGAGATAGACGTGCTGGCTACAACAACTTGATCTAATGTTTTAAGAATCCAAAATTAAATTCTGATCATCGTTTAGGGTAAGTTTAAAAATCTGAAAGATTTCGCACTTAAAACATTGGCTTTTCGGGTCAATCTATATTTGTGAACAATTATTCTTGCCTATGAGCTTCAAGACGTTAACTCAGGTACACATATAGCCAGTATTACACAGTACGACGGGTAAAATGATTCTAGACAACAACGCATTAGTGAGGAACTGCGAAAGGTGCTAACTCAGCGAATTGGGCTTCAGTGCAAATGTTTTAGACTTCGCGTAGCGTTCGGGTGCAAAATCATCCTTACCCTGCAATTACGGACTAATTTCACTTAGTCTGTTAAGATTGAATGGAGCCAAATTTTCTGTAGAAACGAATAATGGATGTAAGAGGGTTTGGCTCACATGAATGTGACAATACATAAAAAAGTGAAGAAAGTGATTTTTCAACTTCCCAAATGTGACAACATGCAACCATAAGTATCATTTCAGTCAGTCAGTCAGTAACAACGTGGAACTTCGTACGTACGTACATTACTTCGAGTTGCCATACCACGTTAGCACAGAGATTCAGTTATCGATTCAAATCCCGTAGTGGTAGAGGTAGTGAAAGTATAAGTATTAATCGGGAACATTAGGGTTTGATGATGTTATTTAAGGAGTATAGTCCAGTGGAATAGATTTGGAAAGAAAATAAAGGACATGAAGAATACAGAAGATTAGAGTTTGAGAGAACACAGAGAGTAGATGCATCTGCGTCATTGCAAACGCTTTTGAGGCATGTCATTCAAGGTCTCTAACCATCGGTTGTTATCATCTCGCGGTCCCTAACCAGGTAGTCTACACCTACCAACATGGCTCAGTCCACTTGTCAGTGACTTCATGGATTCGTGTCAAGTTTTGGTCTGGCCACCCTTAACTTTCTTCCAACCTACTCCTACACCATAAAACATCGCACGTATCATTTAGTAATTCCGTGACTGAGATAATTACATGGCTATGATTAACATTGATCGTTTCCGGTATTTTGATGCTGTGGTTGATCTTGTTGGTGATGGTAACATCGAACTACGTTAGGTGGAACACTTGTTCCTTGAGGTCCAAACATGTCAGGGATAAGACCAAAAGCAGCAAATTCAATGTTCGGGGGTAAAGTCGTACTAGCAATTGCACTGGAGTGAATCCCACGAATAATCAGCATATGTAGTAATACTTCCTTCTTATGATGGAGTGAGAAAAGGTTGATCCTAAAAATATTACGCCTTTGTGTCACGAATTTCCTGTGTCGGCCTTACGAGTTGAAAATATGGAGTCAATACATCAAAGCCAATCACAAAAAAGCCTCAAGTAGCCGTCATACAACCAGATCAATTAAGGAACTACTAACCCAGGATCTATTTTCAGTTATTCCATTATTATTATTTGAACACATAAATATTGGTACAAAGGGATACCAAATACATATGCGCCACACAAATCAAATGAGATTTGTGTGTGGGCTATGATACTTCCCGAGTGCCCAAACCGAAGTAGGGGGTTTTCCTAGGGGTCTACATCCTGAGCCTTTGACCTAAAGGTCTGATCCACAAGACAGTGGAGCAACGTTAGGAGATACAGTCCCATGGTAGCCGGTGACCAACGATTGGTCCATACGCCCATGTGTACCATTGGTTTGGAGTCAGGGTTTTTCAACTCCCCTAGGTGGACTCTCCATGTCCACCGACCCGGTTAAAGCGCCAGACATTCGCTCTTCGTCCTTTCAATTTCGTAAACAACACCCTTGCCACGAGAAGGTAGTGAGTAGGATTTCCTTGACAATGTATACGCGTGGCCATGTGAAACTCGAATCAGGGCTTTTCAACTCTCCTAGGTGGATCCTCTATATCTACCAACCCGGTTGAAGCACCAGACATTCGCTTTTCGTCCCCCCAGTTTCGTAAACAATACCCCCGTCGCGAAAGGCAATGAGTAGGAGTTGCTTGAGGTGGCTGTATATGCGTGGTCATATGGGAACATTTCGAGAGGGAGAGCTAATTCTCCTCACCCTCGACTGTGCCAAGGCATTTGGGTTTGTATTTGGTAGAACCTCTGTGAAAGTGATAATTTGGTGGAATAAAGTTTCAGGAAATAAAAATAGATCAGCTCTTGGTCATAAGCTCACACAAACTAAAATAATTACATGCAGAACCAAAGACCGCGAAATGTGATACCAGTAGAAGTACACGTGAAATCTAAGAAATCTCTGGGTAGTTGAGTGAATATAATCCACTAATTCGCAAAGGCGATGATTGAATATGAGAGGAACGGAGAAGCGTATGGTTTTTACTTGCAATCCTTAGAAAATTTCGTTTCGATGTCTGAAATTCTAGATGACACAGGTAAGATCTCACTCTACAGAAGCTGGAGTATTTACTCCATTCTTGTCTAAACATATTTGACCTATTAACTGCTTGTTCTGAACTCCACCAAAAATTGAGGGTTTAGAGGGAACTAATTTGTTTTGTTCCTTGAGTGTTTCTAATGTAATGATTAAAAAGTGAAAAAATCGAGTGATACCAACACTGAAATTTACCGTTTTGTAATGAATGACAATTGGCATACTCAAGGATCAAGAAAGAACAATCCGATGGAAGTGAAGGTCCGGCACCAATCAAATGTATGATATTTTCATGTTCAAATTGAGCAATAAGTGATAATTCTTTTTGGGCTAGACGCTTGTGCTTCTCATGAAAGGATTTAACTACAACGTTCTTTCCCTCCCAAACTCCAAGATAAACATTGGAGAATGAAGTGGTTGCCAAAGTAAACTGAACAAACGAGTTAAATGAGAAACAAAAAGCAACTACCTTATCTTCAAGAATTTTTCTCAAGAGTTCGTCATTTACGCTAGTAAGTGATTTACGGCAAGAATCGTTGGTCATGCTTCACCAGAATACCCATGAGAAGTTTGAAAAAAGCCTGAAGTGTGTAAAGGTTGGAGTTTTTTAAAGCCGGATATATCAGAAAAACAAATTAAATACTTGTGGCTACCTGGATACAGGATTAAAACGTTGGAGGATATTACGAGACATTTTTCTCAACCTTTCATCGTTTAAGCAACAACTCTGTTAGTAGTTTTTTAACCTGTAGAAAACTAAACTTTACAAGGATACCTCACAGTGGAGTTTTATCCTGTTCATTAGACTTACATTAGGAAAACACCCAAATTCTAAGAATTTGGTAACAGGTCCCAAGAATTGACGACTGCGAGAAAAGGAATAACACAGGCAGTAAGCCTTCTGTTCTTACTACAAAAATCTGAATATGAGAGTTTCACATTAGCGTATAGTAGCATCGGGGACTCAACTATACTTGGGAGTTTATTTACATACAATATAAAAAGTAAAGGAACTAGGACAGCCTTACTGTACTCCACCAAGTACTGGTTTCCAGAAAGAGCATTTGGAATCTATTCTTACTTTCTGTCTACGACCTTCCACGAAATCCTTAATCAACTTTAGGTTTTCCAGCTTTGAGAATAGTCTATTATTCAGCTACCTTATCAAATGCTTTACTGAAGTCTATGTAGAAAACACTCACCGATTTTCCACTGTTTGGAGCCTCTGCCCGTTCCTCTCATATTGTAAGGTTTCTTGCGCAAAGTAATCCATGTTTACTGTTTAACAAATTGTTGGTTTCCATGTATGTTATTATGGTCTTTTTTGATTATCTCTTCCAGTATTTCACTGAGACACTTGCGAGAGTGACAGGTCTGTAGTTTGATGGAAGTTGTCTTGGTCCTGTTTTATGTAATGAAGTGGCGATTGCATCCTCCTAGCCCGTAGGTAACACACATTGACCAGGTGATATATTGAATATCACAGTCAATGGGGCTGCAATATATTGTGCAGTTTGTCTCAAGATTTTGGGGTGTCCAAGTGCCAAGAGCCTTAGGTACAAAGTCTTGATCAAAGTCCATAGTGAGTAAACGGTTTGTTGACTTTGTATTCGGATATAGTTCTTCGTCTGGAAGAGGCTTCTGAGTTAAAACTATCCCGAAATACTTTTCCATGGCCTATGCTTTACCCTGATCATCCTCTATTATTTCAGACCCACTCCCATAATTAGTTTTGGAATCCAACGTTGTGTCCTTGTTCTGTAATATATGTATGAGAATAGTCTCTTAGACTGCTTGGTTACAGATTGTTTATTTATTTAACACATAGGTATTGGTACAAGGAGGCACCAAGTACATATGCGCCACACGAATCTCAATTGATTTGTGTGAGGGCTGTGATACGGCTCGGGTGCCCGAACCGAAGCAGGTGGTTTTCTTAGGGGGCCACACCCCGAGCCTTTGACCTGAACGTCCGATCCACAAGGCAGTGAAGCATCGTGAGGAGATGCAGTCCCATGGTAGCCGGTGACCAACGATTGGTTCATACGCCATTTGTTCCTTCAGGATACTGAGCTAACTGCATTTCATATTTTCTCTGAGCTTCCAGGATTGTAATTATACACTTATTTTTCACCGACCAGTAGCGTTCCATTGTACTTGTTGTATTAAAGCTATTGGCAACGTTCCAACATTTCTTCTTCTAGCTGAGTTACCTGATTGTATATCTGCCTGAAATGAGTCCATGCCTCTTCGACTGATACCTGAGTCAATTATCCAGTTTTCAGCCGATGCTGCATTGTTGATTGCCTCCATGTATTAGGACGGGCCGGTGCAACTGTTTGACAGGACATTTCAGCCATGAACTTGGAAAAGATGACTGCATGACCACTTTTCCCAAGAAGGGGGAGGAAAGTTATTTGACTGACATCGTCATCGTGTGTCAAGATCAGATCCAAGAGAGACAAGGAGCTTCGTAAATCATATCTGGAGAGACCTCTAATGTGCTGGAACAAAGCTAGGACAATTGTGGTTCCTAACAATTTTCAATCAAATGATTTTATTGATGATCTTACTTGTAAGTTTCCCCAGTTTATATAAGGTACATTAAAGTCGCCTACCATCAGGCTTTTACACCTAATAAACGAGGACTTGAGTTTACTTAGGAGGAAGTCATCTACTACACATTATGGATTGCGGTATACTACAATTAATTCAATATCTTGCCGTTTACATTTCAGCCTGCAGCGCACCAGTCCACATGTCCGTGAATCATGTGCCACTGTCTCGACCCCACCCCCTACGGTTTAGCCTATCAGTCCTATTGGATAAAAACCTATCAACTGAATTCCACTACCATACACATCTGACGTTAACCATGTTTATGAGACAGCTATGACATCCGGGTTTTCTATATCCACCATTGCCTTGAGCTCCACCATTTTACTTTATAGGCTGAGAGCATTTGTGTGGCACACCTCTAATTCCGTGAAGAATTTCACTTTACCACCCAGAGTGTTTTGAGGATGGTCTTGCTCCGAACTCTTACAATTTGAAAACCCTTAAGTATAAGGTTTTCTCATTGTTTCGGCGGTGCTCATTTATTTCTACTTCTGTCGATCGTCTCTTAATACGGTCAATCAGGCTGAGATCATTACGGACGCATATTTCGAATCCAATTAGTCTGCGTGAGCTTCCCACCATTAGGTTTCTTTCCTCAGCCGAAGAAAAAGTAAACATTATGAGGCGGTTTTTCTGAGTACAATTAGAATCCACTTTTTGCCCTATGCTATAAAGTTTACAGGTGCTAGCTCCTGATACTATTTATGGGGGTAGCTTGCTTATTAAGGACTTAGTGTGGCTGAGGTCGTACTCAAATCTGGCCTTTGGTTCCTTTTTTGGCTAGAAATAACAGATGTAGATGAACGTGTACTTCATGGGGATTTGTATGTTTTAATTAGCTAGTCCTAAAATGTAGCTGACTATCAACGTGACCAAGTGTGTCTACAAGGACATTGAAGAAATAAAGGTAAACAAACATAACTTAGAGGAGTCAGTGCCTGTAGTCTGGTCTCATAAGGATCTTGGGGGTGAAAGTGAGTCATGATTTTAAGACCTCGGCCCACTGCTGCGTGGTCGCAGTTAAGCTTCTTAAAACCCTACGGGCTTTAAGCAGAACGTTTATCAAGTTATATACCAATATGTTCACTACAGTACACATAACAGTGAGATCCAGATATGAAAATTGTGTTCATGTAGCAGGCCCATGTGACTCGGATATTTTGGGAAAAGTAGAGGGTAGCTACCTTTGTAATACCAAGACCAAGAACGAACAAAATACCCGCGGCATACAGGTTTTCACACTGAGTAATCAATTCTTGAACCTGCTACAGGAAGCAGTAATGTCCTCCTTTTCAATTGCCTCATACAAGAGAAGATCAGACACACACAGAAGCATAGTAGCAAAGGAATAACACAAGCCGTAAGCCTTCTGTCCTCAACACACAAATCTGAACAGTGGGTTATGTGTCGTACACCGACTGAAAAGCGACCGGACTTTTAAATAAGTTTTTTTATATTCTAAAGAGCACCTAAACCTAATCGCCTCATTTTGAGGAAAATTCTGTCCGTTTAGGGTAAATTTGGGGGAAACCGTTATAGAAAACTTCGGAGAAATAGAAAAAAAACCCAAAATGTTTGGGGATATTTTGCGTTTCCCCCAGAATCTTATAACACGTTGGGGTTTTTCCCCAAACTTTGAGGAAAACCTCAAATTGGGAGATTGGGACATATCAATGTCACATAGATAACCTATGCGAGTGGAGGTGTAGCGATTTGCGTCTAGCCAGAAAGTACTTTGTGTACCAGGAGAGTATGCAGAACTGAGTGTGTGGGGACTGGAAAAGAGAGTAACATAAGTTAAGGTGAGACGACGACCCAGCTACCGCACATGATGCAGTTACATTTATTAAGGAAAGCGAAAAACAACAATCAGAAACGACACACGCTCCAGATTACGACAGTCTAGAAAGAGAAGCTAGAAGCACATAGTTTAACGCGTTACCATATGGTAACGATGCATTGGCATTGCCCACTGACAGAGGTTACCGAGTTCTTGAAGGTCAAACTGTCTCAAGATGATTGGTGCGTCACATCGACAATTCGTGAAGATTTTCAGAGGCGGTCAAATCAAGACATTTTTAGATTTGAATTGAGTTGGGCCACACCATGTCTGATAACGTCCATCTTTCAAGTAACGAAGATGATGCCATCGTAATGATGCATGATATAGGACGAATCTTCAATGATATTATGTTATCTCGGAGATTTACCAGTTGGGACAATTTTGAGACCTGTTGGAAAGAAGTACATAAGGTAATATGACTTCTGTGGTTAATGATTATTTTTGTAGTATACACATACTAGGTACGTTATGTCAGTATGCAAAAAGAACAATGATGACCCAACTCTAAAGTATTTTTTCGTGAGATATATTTGTACATATATGTACGTCCATATATGGACGTGTAGTGACCTACTTTTATCAACAGAACGCGATTGGTTAGATGAAAACAATTATTATTATAACCAATTGTACCAGTGATTGTTTTATTGTGCTCGTTTGTTTAACTGTGCTAATGACAGCCGATATACTTACTCTCCCGTTGACTTTGAACTTGTGCGAATCCGGTTACGCTCAGTAACCACACTTGTACTCCTTTGGCACGATCTCGGTATTCTTTCGATACCACGAGATTGCCAACAAATATATTACGACTACTACTATCATCTGCCTTCTGATTTTTGGCCTACCGGAATCTTATTGGTCTATTGGCACGTGGTCTTGTAGCGGTGTTCATAGTTAAGCTCAACTCGACACCACGCTACATTTGGTGAGCCAAATATTGGAACACGCCTCAACCTCAGTCAAATCTTTCAAAGAAGGCAATTCGGTGAGTCTATTGTTTTATCTATCCACGTCTGTCAAATATTTTCATATTAATTTTTAATATATAATATATTTGACATGACGGATAGCGATAAGAA